GAAATAATTTAGAAACTCTTTGGACAGGCCCCCGCAAAGTTCTTTAATAGTTATCGCCCTTTTCTTCTCGAGTATAAACTCATCTCTCTGCTCCTGAGTTTCGGCTTCCAGTCCTTGCCAAGGGAGCGAACCGTGAATGAAATATAAAAGGACATAACCGAGAGATTCCATGTCGTCGCGACGGGACTGCTCTAAGTCGGAATATTAGTAAGTTTCCGGCCGTAGGACTTTACCGCTTACCAACGCCCGAGTGCCCATTGATACTAGCATAACGCGCTGTGCCGGTCAAGGAGATTTTCCAGCATCGAGCATCGTTCTCACCCCTATCACGTAATTTCTGACCTAGCCCCATATCGGTCACATAGACTTGGTTTCCCTTCCTGCCATCTCCCATCAACATGTTCTCCGGCTTGATATCTCTGTGAATGAACCCTTTAGAGTGAATGTACTGGAAACGAGAGATGAGCTGGTCGGCCAGCACCAGCACCGTCTTGAGAGAGAACCGTCTCCCGCAAAAGTTGAAGAGGTCCTCCAGGCTTGGTCCGAGAAGGTCAAATACCATCACCCTGTATTCGCCTTCTTGTCCATGCCAATAAACTCGAGGAATACCGGGCCCACCAGCAAGTTCCTCATAGATGCGGATTTCGTTTTTCAGAATGGACGGATCGATCCGTACGTGTTCAAGCTTAAGGGCGACTTCTTTCCCAGTTTCAAGACAGAGCCCTAAAGTACTGCTAGTTTCTCAAAGTAATATCGTTTATTTGGTTCAATACCTTCGTAAACAACGCCGAAACCTCCGCCACCCAGCCTACGCTCTAGACGATATCTATTATCAACGCAAAGATTCTAGGGGTGCCGTTAGATGCGTTGCAACAAGAGCATTGATAATTGCCCTGCGTTGAGTTGGGAGCGGGAATTAACTAACCAGTTTATCCATTGAGCTGTGCTGCATTTCAGCGAGAATGGATAGCATAGAAAATGACAACAACGAGTACCAGATGGCGGGTATTGATATTTGTGTCCGCGCCCACAAAGGAGGCTCAAGGATTAAGGCTGCGACCATAATGTCCCAGTGTTGCTGCGATCACATTCTTTGTGTGAGTGCGTACGCAAAATATAGACGGCCATCTACTCACTTCTTTGTCAGCACGTACGCGAAACAAATACATCTTTTCAAAGACATCTGTTTGCTGGACAATAACTCTAACCTTGATTTTTGCCATCACAAATTTCTTTGTAAGGGTGGACGCAAACATCAACATCTGCCGTCTACTCACTCCTTTGTCAGAGCGTACGCAAAACATTAAGTCTACTTAACATGTCTCTGACCCTAATTCTTGTCACTGTAGCCTCCTTTGTGAGCGCGCAACAAAACTTAGACATCCGCCGCCCGCTCAATAATGTCTCTAGCTTTGATGTCTCCAGATAAGACACCAGCATGTCGCACTCGAAAGCGAAAGCGAGCTATATCGACTGATACTCCGCCGCAATTCTGGGATAATCTCTCCCGGAAGTGGCTCACTCCTCGTGCTCTTCAAGAGCTTGATCGAAGAACAATTTGGCCTGTTGCTGCTCCTATACCGCCAGATCGGTCTGGGTTGAAGGAACAACACTCGATACAACTCAAGCGCTTTGCTCGACACGGTGGTCCAAGCCTTCGCGACCTTAGAGCTGTGAGTTCTATTCATGGGCCCAGAGAATTTCTGCTAATTTCTTTCTCAGTATCCAGGTCTAGAAACGAAAAACCTTTCCGTTCGCATAATGAGCTCAAGCCAGTCGCGAGCAGGGAGTGGAACCAATTCTCCTAGCACATCGAGCCGGACTACGCTGAGAACGAAGAAGAATTCTGCTTACGATGCTTGCTTTGAGCAACACCTTATTGATAACTGTATATATCCTGAAGGATACAATACTGAACCTGATAATTTGGATGAGATCAAGGAAAGACTAGCGCAACCTCGACCTTCCTTATCACCATCATCGTTTACCCGCGAGACGTTCTTAGAGTTTAAGCGGAAGAATCGGGATGCTGTGACTGAAGCGGAAGTAATGGGCAATGTCTTCCCGATCATCAAAGGAAATGCCAACATCCCGTCCGGCCATAACCGCCCCTTTGGAAATCTTGCACCATTGACCGACGGCACCCTTGTTGACCCAAAACCGGACTTCTACGATGGATCTCGTCCGATAGAGCTCGATCGACATGTACGCAACGAACTTGGGCCTCACATAGCTCCTTCCAGGAGGCTGACGGCTCCTCTGCTGCCGAACTTTTCTATGGAGGCGAAGGGGCCTGATGGAAGCGCTGCCGTTGCGAAGCGCCAAGCATGTTATGATGGGGCAATCGGTGCTCGTGCAATGCACAGCCTGCAGTCCTTTGGGGAGGACGGTGAAACTTACGATGGCAACGCCCACACCATTACCTCGACCTACCAAAGCGGTACCGGGTGTCTGAAGTTGTACACAATTCATCTCACCCGCTCCGCTGGCTCCGGAACCTCTCCCGAATATCATATGACTCAACTGGGCGGATGGGATGTAACTGACTCCCATAAGCAGTTCTGTGAAGGAGCCGGCGCGTTCAGGAATGCGCGAGATTGGGCGAAAGAGCAGAGAGACGAAGCAATTGCGATGGTGAATAAGAAGGTAATAGAGCGCCATCTTCGGGATTAATTACATCATCATTGTCTCAAGATTCGCAAATGAAGCTACAGCTGAAGCCTCTTAAACTTCGCTCGATGGGTTTTACGCAAGCTGGCCTCTAAGCCAAGAATCTCGAAGCATAATGAATGTCTCCTTTACAAGCGAAATTGGACCTCGAGGGTCCGAGTTGATGATGGATGAGCTCGGCTTGAGTCCCAAGCCGCCAGCAAAACGCTCTCTTTATTTCAAGCTGCACTGGTCTTGCCGCTCAAAACGCAGTGCCGCTGAATCCGGCACTCCACGAAGCAGTGCACCTGCCGGGACTCAGCAAGGCGAGCAGTGGTCGTGAATGAATAGCAAGTTTCAATATTGTCTAGACTGGTCAATTGTGAGAAACAAAAAGCAGGCTTTAGCAGACGTGTGAATTAACTATGGCCAGGGTTGGCCGGGCGGAGGATGTAAGAAATGGAGGCGCTGGTATCAGTGACAGGTAACATCACTTAGGTAGAGAAATCTTATTTCATACATGGATTATAAAACACTCTGTCTTGTCTTATCTCTCTCCCTGCCTTCTCAGTTCCGCACCGTTCATCTATCACAATATGCACACAAGGCACAGCGCGTTACGCGACAGTGAGGAGCTACTTCTCTAGCGATATACCCATTAGCGCCATTGTTCCCTTCGCGCATGTTTGTGCTCTGTATGAAGACTTTTTTGATGAAAGGAGTCAAAAGTTCGCAATCGAGAGCAGAATGATTTACGGAAAAGTACTGGGCAAAGGACGATCAAGGTTGTACCGAAAGGTTATATGATCCCGCACTAGACCCTAATCCACCACATCGGACGATCTTGTCCACTGCCCAATGCACGAAGCTAAATAGGTGGGAATGGTAGGGAAAGCAGTGTGGTGGCTTTGAAATATATAAGTTCGCGGCGTTTCCCAAATGTTACCGAAGGATGTGAGCTCCAAATTTTTATCGTCGCCTTCAACCAGGTGTTACTTCCACCACCTCTTTCCTCGCTATATAATCATTTCAAGATCACTACATCTATATATGCACCATTTGCGCCGCACCGAAGCTTCATTACTAATACCCTCCAAGGTACACCGAAGCCGTACCTATCCTACGCAACCAATTCCTTCAAATCTACGGGCGCGACGCCCTTCTCATCCTCTCCACCACCGCTCCAGCCCACCACTTCAGCCTCATCCGAACGCTTCGCCTTGACTTCCAGTTTAGATACCTTCCCAACTTCGACGACCTGCCTTTGGACAAGAACACGTGGATCTCTACCTGGCGTGCGATTTCTGGCATGCAGGATCTCAACAGGCTCAGCGTGTTGACTGCATTAGTTAACCAATATAATCCACGATGGCCATCTTACCCATTTTATCCATCATAACCTGAGCCTCGCTTTGTTACTGGCCATTTGGGGAGGAAATTTCTTTGCATCCGCCTACCGTGGTGGATGAGATAGAAGATTTTAAACTGCAAGTATCGTGGGATATGCAAACTAGTCTTTATACACGGGGTATGCCGGATCGAAGAAGTATGCCATTTCAACTGACTCATGCTTCAAGTGTTGAAGGCGCGGAATGGGCGGATAGGGATAACTTAGTAGGAGATGCGAAGCATTGAGTCGTGGGTCTTCATGTGGCTCTCCCCGTCTAGTCTTATCACCGGCAGCACGGATGGTGGATTCGCTCATTTTCAGCGTCGCCGGCGTCCGCGGGGTATGGAGTATAGTATTGTGCCATGAAACAGGTCTGCGATGCTGAAAAATATGGAGATCGGACTTTTCGGAAAGTCCATCTAGGCGTTTCTTCCATGGTGAGTGGCTGGGAGTTTGATGGGGCTTTTTATGATGGTAGAGAGGGAAATGTGGCAGCTGAGATGTTTCTATGGAATGGACATTAATGACATGCCCATCTCGGGTTGAGAAGGCTTATATCCTTACCTTTTGTTAGCAAATAAAAGCTTCAGGCTGACTTGATCAAACCGTAAACCGATGAGAATGGAATCTGGAGGGCGATCTATATAGCACGTATGTGCAAACGGGGCCGAATTTGATCGTGACGACTGTTGTAGGCGTGAGATTTAATTTATCCAATGCCAAATTGCCCACGGTACTATTCCTGAGAGATATAGCGTGTAATTATTGGGGAACTGGAGACATTATCCCACAAATCATCTCTAATCTGCTGGTAGCCAAATGGTGAATGGAACCATAGTTGTTAGAATCCTTTCAAAGGTGGGAGGCGACTGTACCGAAAAGCCCTAGTGCTGGAAAAATACATTTTGACAGCACAATACAACTATATATATTTCACAACTACGCTTACGTAATAACAAGATCCGTCGTGGTCTAGTGGCTAGGATGTAAGTAGAATCCCTCCCAGCCTCACTAAATATCGGAATTAACAAATAATAGTTGCCGCTCTGTGAGTTTAATCCTCCACTGTATCAGTATCATATACTAATAATAGCTATCAGCACTGAAAAGAGCATGTGCCGGCAAGGCCCGGGTTCAATTCCCGGCGACGGAAATATTTTTTGGCCTTTTAATTTTTAATACTGGGACAGAGTATCAGGGTACCTTTTTATTTTATTTGAAAGACATTAGAGTCTAAGTGGCACTTCACAGATTGGATTTTTTTAATAGACAGCCTGGTGATGCATGTACATTTTCTCTAATTGAAGATCCTATTGTAAACCTCTTCTCTTCCACCTTCAAGCACTTATCCTCCTGCCGGTTGCAAGATAGCCCCATGCCAACATAAAGACCAGGACATTTCTGCAATGGGTTCCTGACAAATACATCCTGCTGGTAGAATCAGCTTCTCCGATTGTCGACAATTCACAGCATCCCGGAGAAATTCTTATGGCAGTCTCGATGGAAGAAGCTTGTTCTCGCCGAGGGGTATAAGATCAAATAGAGGCTGGTGGCAGTCGGTGGTTGCGTGCAAGTTAGAATATGAAGTGTGAAGTGAAGACAGCTTCGGAGATAAGAATAAGGGTTGATTAGCAATGTGGATCGAGAAAGTAAGGTCGTGAAGTGGTTTACAAGGCGAGTGACGAAAACTATGGGTCAGTGGTGTCGTGGTTGGAGAGCATGGCGGTCAACTGTGAACTGTCCCATGGTGTATTTTCAGACGTGAAAGATAGTAGCCAATGCTTCGCAATAATCAGGCCTTGGACACGCCTCCGAAAGGGTGGTGTGGCCTAAATACGCAACATGTAATTGAATCTGTGTAATTAGGTCTAGTTGGCTTCTCCAGCTTTAGCCGGTGTTAAAATAAGGTATGTTCCGAGAAGTCGCTGGCGTGGCTGTGATACGTAGAAGATAAAAACTGTGTGGATCTAAAGGCATTGTGGGCGTGTTGGGGAGGCTGCTGGTTTGAGGGCGGATGCGGGATCGGTGAATGAGCGCGTGGGCTTCCAGGGTTGTTCCAGGCGACAGTAAACGACATGTGTCCGATGGACCCTGCATGTCTTCAATTTGTTTTGCCAATCTAAAATGAAGATACCACTCCGCGCTCGCATCTGCAGCCCTTGATGTGCCATCTTTGTTAGCGGGACTGAACTGTGACTTATATAGAACACATTAAAACATCCTTTGGACTCGGCCTTATGGATGGCTCGATTACGGTCAGTAGCTTAGACATAAACCGAACCCCCGTGCTCGAAGTTCCAACATAAGCCTGCGTGGTCAGTATAATCATAAAATGAACGAATTCGAACGATCAATGGGATATTTGACATGGATCAAAGCGTACCTCTAGCTATTCGTACACTGCATACAAAAGAGTATCATTTGCCTACATGCCGTTGCAAACAAGGGTAGAGTGAGATCTATGCCTGGTTGCCCACAGTGGATCATCCTCCCATCCCACATATGCATCAAGATACCACACTATAACGCCGTCATAAAAATAGGAAAAGAGTTGTAGAGGGCAAATCCAAAGAAGTTGTAGAAAAAATTCATCAAAGAAAAGAAAAGAAAAGAAAAGAAAAGAAAAGAATAGAGTAGGTTGGGAGATCTACCCAAGTATCTTCAAGAATCCCCACAATCCAGCGCTGCAGAGAACCGGAATCGTAAGGTTGTCGTCCCAGCCGAAAAGATCTATCGCTTCACTTGTCGCAGCAACGACGCCAGCCCAGAGGCTCATGGCGCCGAGGGCGAGGGCACCAGTAATTGAGCCTTGTGCTTCAGTCCATCCGAGATACCCTCGGATCTGAGATGGAAGAGTCAGCGTTCCTTGGAATGCAAAGGAATTTGGGCCGCTGTCATAAGCCGCCGGCATGGACGGCGCGACAAAGCCCCAGAATAGGGCTGCTGTGAGTACGCCGGTAATACACGCAGCAATGCTGCCCGCCAAGCTCTTTCCAGGCCGAACTCGCCATGTGTAATGACCCCATAGCCTGCCAAATGTAGATGCCGCCGTATCACACCAGCTGAGGAGAAGAACACCCATCACACCTACGTCTTTAGGGAAGAATCGCAGTGCAATCCATGCGCCCAAAAGGTAGAATATAACTCCATTCCACCCATCGACTTCGGACTCGCGCATCAAAGCCCCCAGGCATCGGATATAAAAGCGGTTTACCGAGTAGTAATGGTGCCGGAGGACGTCGGTCGCGGCAATAGGAACGAGGAGGGTGAGGAGAATGGGGTGGATTTGAGACGCCTGGGTTCCAGTGCAATAAAGATAGGTTGTTAGGAAACCGATCGAGACATGGAGAATTTTGCGGGGGACTTCGTGGCGGTGGACCTGTGCTTATCAATACTAGTTCCTGTCAGGATAAGGCTACAAGAACGTACAAACGACCTCCACTTTTGATGGATAGGAATCAAACCAAGCGGACTAGGACTCCGACTCATTTCCCGCCATAAGTTCTTGTTTGCAGCCTCCGGCGACAGGTGGCCGTTTGCGGTTCCGTTCGGAAGGCTAGGATTCGCTTTCTTCCCTACGTCTTTTGACGCTCTCCCCGGTTTCATAGTTGTTAAACCACTCATGCGTCTCCTCCTACCCTCAATTATAGGACTTCTGCTCCGTGCCCGCGCCCGCTTTTCAGGGTCTGACTCTGAACTATCCTCATCGATCTGAGGCGGTGAAGGTAGTCTCCGATTATTGCGAGCTGCTGACCGCGTTACGGGACCAAAGTATCCATCCCTAGCACTGGTCTCCGAAGGTGTAGGAGAGGGAGATATCACTCTAGGAGTGCTCGGTACTTGATACTGCTTAGAAGAAGCCATAGCTTGCTGCCAGCAATCCACGAAGGAGGGGAGAGGAGGCGATCGGATGAGACCGGTAAGGGCACTGCGCGCTCGAGAGCAGAAATATGCGACGTGTGTGAAAGGGTTGTGGTCGTCAGGTTGTGTCACGCCTTGGAAGTCTACTATGACGGCGGATGCATTTGTAATGGAGGCGCGGAAAATCAAATAAGTCACTGGGTGTTGTGAAGCCAGACTTGGGGATGGCGAGTCCGGTTGTGCAGCATGATCTAATGAAAGAATGTCGGCCACAGTGGATTCGGAGAGAAGGGTGGGCAGGTGGTGGTGGTGGATAGGGGCGGTAAAGAAAGATGACACGCGATGATGATTGACTTGGTAACTTTGCGCAACAAATTTCTCGAGGAAAGTTGCCTGTCGGAACCCGCATGTGAGGTTGTCCGTCTTGGCACAGCGCCGGCACAAGCGCTGAATTTCGGAAAAATACTTTAATTATGGGAGAGAATGTTTATTTCAAACAGATTATGTTTACCAAAAATATTGGAAAAGCATTTAGGGCAAAGGAGATGTTCAGTATTGTTGAAACCTCAGGCACAGAATGCCAAGCTTTGAGGCTTCCGTATGCTGAACGGCCTGGAGGAAAGTTTCACCGGCAAGAATTAAACACCAAAGAAAATATCTCGAAGATAGTTCAACACCACGAAATTATACTGAACATCAAGCCAAGACTCGAATATAGCACTACACTCTGCCCCATGACCATAATAGTAAACTCCACTTCATAGATTTGGCCCTTGTGCCTCTCCTTAGCGGCCGATACAACTTAAAAGCATATCAGGTGGTACCTTCGCGGTCGTATCGCCTAAACTTCAGCCTTTTATAAAACTTGGACCCTTTTTATGGCTCCAGAATCGAAACCGGAACCCCCGAAACACTCATCTCGAGAATGGGGAGGTCTCACGCCGGAGCTCTCAAGCTGGGTGCTTGACGCGATGAATGCGAATGGCTTCAAAAGAATGACTCCTGTACAATCAAGTACACTGCCCATTTTTCTTGGAAACAAAGACGTAGTCGTAGAGGTAATTAGAGCCTCCACTGTCATTTCGTACCAATCTCCCTTTTTCTCTCACCCTCTCTCTATTTTACTATATATTCTCTATACCTCTATGGCTAATCCGTCTCTCAGGCGGTTACTGGCTCAGGAAAGACCCTCAGTTATCTCATACCAGTCATAGAAAGACTCCTTCGTCTTGATGAGCACACAAAGAAACATCACGTTGCAGGAATCATAATTTCTCCCACCAGGTAAGAAGCCATTTTCTCATCAAGACTTAGTCTTCTTACAACGTATAGAGAACTAGCCACACAGATATTTTCTGTTCTACGGTCCTTACTCGCATTTCATGCACCTTCGGCCGCAGTAATGAGACAACTAGACGAAGACATAGACATGGACGCAGAGGAAGATGGTGCCCCTCCGGCATTCCCACCCTCCACCCCCAAAGTCATCCCGCAATTATTGCTTGGCGGAAAAACCACGACAGCTCAAGACCTATCACAATTCCTTCGAACATCCCCTAATCTCTTGATTGCAACCCCTGGAAGGTTATTGGAGCTTCTATCCTCGTCCCACGTGCATTGCCCGCAGTCAAGTTTCGAAATTCTCGTGCTAGATGAAGCCGACAGACTCCTTGACATGGGCTTTAAAGATGACCTCCAAAGAATCCTCCAGCGCATCCCCAAACAGCGACGAACTGGCCTCTTCAGTGCCAGCGTCTCCGAAGCCGTAGGCGAATTGATTCGAGTTGGCCTCCGAAATCCAATACGTATCTCCGTCCGCGTCAAGTCTGCTTCAGGAACACTCGACAAGCGGACCCCAGCTAGCCTACAAATGTCCTATATAGTGACACCCCCAACACACAAGATTCCAGCCTTGATCTCCCTCTTAGACCGTCTAAATCCCACCAAGTCAATCATATACCTGTCGACTTGTGCATCAGTGGACTACTACCAGCATATCCTCCCGTCTCTCCTCCCAAACTTCAAAGTCGTTCCACTCCATGGGAAATTTCCACCTCAAGTCCGGCACCGAAACTTCTCCTCCTTTGTCAACTGTGCAATTCCATCTCTCCTCCTCACAACAGACGTTGCGGCTCGAGGACTCGACATCCCCTCCGTCGATCTCGGTTTGTTATTCATTCCCAGTAAAAACAACACTTAACTAACTGCACATCAGTCATCCAACTGGATCCGCCCAGTGACCCGAAAACTTTCCTCCACCGAGCTGGTATGCTGTCACCTCCCCTTTTGGTA